CATTTCTGGACACCACATTTCAAGAAGGATGCTGACAAACTGGAACCAGTTCAGAGGAGGGCAACAAGGATGAGCAGTGGGCTGGAAACCAAGCCGTGTGAGGAAAGGCTGAAAGAATTGGGCCTGTTCAGCCTTGAGAAAAGAAGACAGAGGGGTGATAGGAGAGCACTTTTCAAATATTTGAAAGGCTGTCCTTCAGAGGAGGGGCAGGATCTGTTCTTGACCGTCCCCAAGTGCAGAACAGACAACAATGGGCTCGAGTTATAGGAAGCCAAAATTCAGTTGAATATCAGGAAAAACTCCCTAACTGTTAGAGCAGTATGACAGTGGAACCAGTGACCTCCGTGAGTGCTCCAATCCTGGGGGAGGTGATCAAGAGTAGACAACCCCCCCTGGCAGATCTGCTTTGATCTGGACTCCTGCCTTGAAGGGGTGGATGGACTGGATGGCCTTTGAGGCCCCTTCCAACTCCATGATTCTAGGACAGCTGTCCAAGAGGCCAGCCTCATCCCCAGGCAAGAGTCCTGTACAGCTGAAATGGGGGAGAGGTGTGACAGGGTCCAACGGGTGCTGTGCTAGGGGGCGGGGGGCCACAGGGTGAATGTCAGGGGCAGGGGGGCTGCCTCAAAAGGCCCTCTTTGTGCAGCCCTCTTCTTGCTGCCGGGAGCCCTTGCGTCCCCTTTCTCACGCCAGCCCTGCCTCTTCTCTGCAGACTGGCAGGTTTCACAGCAGCTCCAGCAGGCCTCCCGCGATCGTGCGGCAGAGAGGGAGGTCCTGGCACAGAAGATCCGCGCCAAGGAGCACCGGCTGGAGGAGGCCACGGGGGAACTCAGCTCCCACAGGCTGACCCTTCAGGGCTGTGAGGCGTCTGGAAACAGGATGCAGGCGCGGCTGCAGGAGCTGGAGCAGGCGCTGAGCCGAGCCAACGACAGCCTGGCTCTCCTGCGGGAGGAGAAGAGCCGATCGGAAGAGGAGTTGCTCCAGGCCAGATCCTGCCAGCAGGCGGGTAGGTCCATTTTCACTGTTCCCAGGCGTCCATGGCCCCCAACTGTGGGGCCACTTACTCTGGTAGGGCAGGTGGAGCTGCCCTGAGACCTCTTTGCCGATTGTCATTCTAAAAATGGCCCGGAGTGTCCAGCGAGTGGTTGGGAGGCATCCCTGGAATGGAAGCAGAGACCCTTGGACCCGGTGACCCATCCGTGAAGCTAAGGGGATGGGTCACCGGCTGGGGTGGGGTAGAGACATCTGCTGTGTGAGACACAGAAAGACAGAAAGATGCTGGGGTGCTGGTCAACCCCAGTGCCCCCTCACTCTTCCCTGTTCATCTTTAAGGACAAAATCCCAGTGATCTTCCCAAAGGGAGCAAGCCCTTTGAGAGGGCGGCCAAGCCCATCTTAGGGCACCATCCAGATTCTCAAGGAATCTCTCGAGCAATATCAGAGGCTTGGGGGGTGCCCGGGGGAATCCATTGTTATTGTTGTCTTTGTGGTGGTTTCAAAGCCTGGGTGCCCTTGTCCGCCCATTCCCAGGGAGTGCCAGGGCTCCCAGGCTCCCGAGGAAGTCGTTTTCATGTGTGCGGCTCTTGCATTGCATTGGTACATCTGAAAGCCTGGCCTGAGGGGTGCAGGCCGGGCCGGGAGAGGGAAGGGGCCAGCCCCGGGGGCTCACGTGGCATTTGGAGCCAGGCCAGGCATCGTACAGACGTGTCAGAAGATGTCAGCTTTCCTGCTGCCGGACTCCTGGCACACCCCGGCACAGGAGGTGGGAAAAGAGGCAACGGGGGCTGGCCGTGGGCGTTCATTGAGCCTCGGCATCAGCCCAGGGCCTGGAGACCCTCTGGCCCAGGCATGCACGTCTGTGGCAGGTCAGCACGAGGAGTGCCGTGGGATGCCGCCGGGCAGACTCTTCACTCCGGCCACTCCATAGCCTTTTCCGAGCAGCAGGGAGTGCTCAGAGTGAGCAGGCACGAGAAAGGCTGTGAGTCCTGGCCAGGAACCTTTCCCTCCCATCAGCATGCAAGGCAGTATGTATTCCAAGGGGTTCAGTACCTGAGATTATGATCCACCCCCTCCCATAAAAAAACACTATAGAACTGCTGGATCATGACGTGGTTTAGCCGCTCTGGCTGTGGAGCCAGAGGTTGGGAGTTCGATTCCCCACTGAGTCTCCTTGGCAGGAGCTGGACTCGGGGATCTGCAGGGCCCCTTCCAGCTCTGCAGTTCTAAGATTATATTAAATTAACTATATCAGTAGCTTGGATGAGGCTCAGGAATTAAGAGAGTCAGGGCCCCACCTCCCCTCAGTCCCCTTCCATACAGTGGCTTGAAAGCATTTGTACAGTTTCTTTTGAAAAGGAAAACAGTTGTTAAAAAAACCAGCCAACCGGGGCTCGCCATTTGTCTCTTTCCCGGGACGCCCCAGCACCAGTGGGGATGCTCCCATTCCCAGGAGGTGCCACATTCCCAAACCCACGGAAAGGGGAGAGGCTTGTGAGCCCACGTGCTCAAGGACCAACGGCCTGCAGGGCCAGCGGAGGCCAGAGTGGGAGCTCACTCGGATCCTTGCGGGCAGCCGGGAGGGGGATCCTTCCTTGCCTTGCTCAGGCGGCGGCTTCCTCTCTTCCAGGCGGGCGCTCTCGGGCTTGGCTGTGCTTCCTCCCTGCTCCCCCCCCCCGCTGGTCTTTCCTGTCCTTCAGCCAGGGGGGTCACAGCTCCTCCCCCCCCCAACCTGACCTCATTCCCACATGTCATGTCCTATTCACACTTACAAGGCTGAAGGCGGGCTTCTGTTGACCGTTCCAAACACCAGCTTCCATGCAGGCGGACAGACAAGAGGGCAAACCTGGGGCCGCTCATGCACGTGTGAATTTGCCAGGGCCCAAGGTTCTTCCTCCATGGGTGCTGCTGGGAATGGGTCACCGGGGGGGGGCAGCTTAATCTCCTGTGGACGGGGCCTGTTAGGGACGATCGGCTGGGATCGCTCCACAACAGCAAGGACTGCAGTGCAGAAAGCATCTTCTGGCCCCCTTTCTCTCTCTCTCTCTCTCTCTCCCCCCTCCCACCAACCAGGCTGCTGTCCAGTTGGGTGGGAGCACTTCTGGCAGAAATGCCTGTGGATTTCACTATATTCAAAGAACTGGGAAGACAGCAAGACAGACTGTGAAAAGATGTCATCTCAGCTTGTTGTTTTGAAAGAATCCTGGGAGGCAAGCAACCTCTGGGATGCCATCCTGTCAAAGGTAAGACGGAGGGAAGAAGGCCATGGGCCCCTGGGGCTCAGGTGTCAGGTAAGGCCTTCGGGCAGCCCATGTCCTGGACGGGAGGAAGGAGACAGCACAGACAGCGGAGAGAGCCAGCGGAAAAAGCCAAGGAAGAGAGACCAAGGCCTCCCAGGGAGGAGGGACCCAGAGCCAGAACCCGTCCAGAGGATCGTTCAGTCCCTGGCCCTGCAAAACCAGCCACCCTGTCCCTGAACCCCCCAAGCTTCCCACCTTTTACTGCTGGCACGGTCCAGGAGTGAGACCTTTTCGCCTCATATTTGACATCAGGGTCTGCCCTGATGGAGCCTCCTTGAAAGAGGCTTACACTCTGGGCACATTAGCTGCTTTATTGTTACCAATATAAAGCAATTTTGTATCTCTTGCCCATTGAATAGCAAATCCATCCACAGCAGCTTATAAGTGGCATGGGGAGGAAAAACACCAGGTTAGCACAAAATATTTTAATTTATTTATTCAAAAAGTCCTTCTGGTGTTGGAGAGCTCTATGAAGGAAGGGGAGCCTCCACCCACCCACCCACCCACAGTCCACTTCCAAGGGAGCAGGGCCAGCCCCTTTGGCTCATGATCATCATAATCATCATCAGGAGTTGCCACCTTAAAGGCCTTGGCAACTGCCACGCCATGCTTGATGGCCACCATACCTATGGCCAGAAAGAGGCTCCACTTTTTTGGCTTGGAGGAGGGGGTTTCCCATGGGGACCCCCCCCCCAGCCTGCTTAGGCCCACCGAGAGATTAACACTTCAGGACGAAGGAGAACGGCAGGACGTTCAGCTGCCCAGTGACACCCATTGCCCTCCCCCAAGGCAGAACTGGGATGTGCATCTGGCACAGCCATTCCTTCAACCCAGCAACTGTGAGACCCTCCCGGGAAAGGCTCCTTTCTCCCCCTGTGGTTGCTAAAAAAACAAAAAACTTCTTTGGGACGTCCACATATCTGGTCATATTTATTTGCATGCTTTGTGCACTTTTGAAGGGCGCACTAACCAAATTTCTTGGGTGGGGGCCCCTCTGTTAAATTACACAATATTTTAAAACATAGCAGAAGTACAATGATGTGATGCCTCAAGAAACAGAGTCCTGTATAAGATGAAAGCAACCCATCAGCAGTGAATTTATTTATTGATTGATTGGATTTCTATCCCACCCATCTAGACCAAAGGTCTACTCTGGGCGGTTTACAAATTAAAAAAACAAAAACAATATATACAGTATATATATTATAGATCCAAGGTGACGAAAGTATAATTAATTAAGATATGGCAGAAAGGCTGCCCAAATATCCAGGTTTTAAGTTTATTTGTGAAAACACCCAGAGAGGGAGCCAGGCAGATTGCAACTGGCAAGTTGTTCCAACGGCAAGGGACCACTGCCGAGAAGGCCTTGTTCCCCATTCTTTCCTTCTGGACCTCCCTTGGTGTCAGGCCCCTCAGCTGCCCGGCCTGGCTGGAAGGAGTGACTGGAACAAGTCAAAACATTTCAACATATACATAAAACCAAGTTAAAGCCAGCAGAAGGATAAGCATGCAAAGTTAGAAAAAAGGGACCCTAATCAGTGCCTAAAATGGCTGGGAGCATCCAGGGATCTCCACCGGGCATGAAGATGACCGCAATGAAGGTGCCAGGCCAGCCTCTCTGGGGTGGATGTCATTAACTGGTCTAAACCACGCTGATCACCATAATCACCCATTCTCCTGAAAAGGACAAAAGCTGATCCCACAGCTATAAATACTGGGCTATCCAACAAACTGTACCAGAGCACAGACAGAGTTATGACTCTGTCCTCTGAAGAGGCCGGCCACAGAGACTGGCAAAACGTTAGGAAGAAAAACCTTAAGAATATGGTGAAACAGCCCAGAAAACCCACAACAACCATCAGATCCCAGCTGTGAAAGCCTTTGAGAATACATTGCTCATTTATTTATTTATCTTAAATATTTTTACTCTGCCTTTCTCCTTTAAAAAAAAAATCAAAGGCAGCTTACTTAATTAAAAAACAGTATTAAAGCTAACAACAGTGCTTATACAAATACTAAAAAGTATGAAATTAATACCACACTAAAAGACAGTAGACAAAAGCAATACTAAAAGCACATTGAATGCACAGCAATCTATTTAAAAACCCCACTCAGGCCATTAGTTAGTGAGGGAAAGCTTGCCTAAGAAGAAAGATCTTTGCCTGCTTGCAGAAAGACAGCAGAGATGGGGCCAGCCTGGCCTCCAGTGGGAGGGAGTTCCACAGAACTGGGAGCAGCCACAGAGAAGGCCCTGTCTTGTGTCCTCACCTAACACAGCTGTGAAGGTGGCGGGGTCAAGAGAAAGGCCTCTCCTAATGATCTTTACACCTGAGCAGGCTCACAATGGGAGATGCAGTCCTTGAGATAGGTTGGACCCTAGTCATTTAGAGCCTTATAGGTTAAAGCCAGCACTTTGAATGGTGCTCAGGAATGGTAAACCATTTCTGAATATTCTCTACCTGGAAAACCCTGAGAAAGGTCACCATCACTCAGAATCCATTTGATAGTAGATGATGATGATGATGATGATGATGATGAAGAAGATGATGATGATGAAGAAGAAGAAGAAGCATAGATTGTTTTTTTTTTAAAATTCTTTGGTGCACTCCAGTGGCCAGTATGATGCTGAGTGCCTGTTCCTTTTCAAAATCCAGCTTGAACATCAGGTATTTCTCATTTCATACAAGGTAAAGCCTTTGTTACAATGCCTTGAGCATTGCTTCACCTGTATGGGAGATTAATGCAATGGTCCTATAATTACTGCACTCTTGGCATCTTTCTTGGGAATTGGAATATATAGTGAATGTTCCCAGTCTGTGGACCATTGTTTGTTTTCCATGTATGTAAGCATATTCTTGTGAGCATGCTGATATACTGTATTCCGTTTCTGTAACTGGGAATAGTCCTATCAATATCCCATCTACTACTACTGATTTAATTCATCCAAGTACTTTGAAAGCAATTTTCACTTTCTAAACTTGTCAGATTACGGGATTCTTCTTCAAAGGAATTTATTTCTTTGCAACTCTTTTGTATAGTTCTTTACTGCATTGTTTCCATTATGTCTTTATTTTATCCTAGTTATTTTATCCTTTTGTCCATCAAAGCAAGCTCAAATGAGCTCTCAACCAGTCTGTTCCTCCTCCCAAGCCACAGGGCAGACTGAGCGTGGGCTGCCTTGCCTGGGTTAGATGAAAAAAGGCGTGGGGAAGGGGCCTGGCCTGCCGACACTCGGCTCCCAGAAGCAATTGCTTCATGGCAGGAACAGCCCGAATGCTCCCCCAAGACCTCCTGATGAGCAAATCACTTCTCAAACTTCTCAAACATGGGTTTATCAGTGTTTACTTTTCTCCTCTAGCTTTCTTGGGAACAATTTTGGGTTGGCCTTTCATCAGATGGACAGTGGTTGTCTCTGGCTGATGGATCATCTGTTGATAGGTAAGTGAAGCTTCTTTTGCTTCTTGTCAACCCCAGTCTTCTGGGCCGAGTGGTGGACGACCAGTATGTCCCACTAGGACAGGCAGCCTCTGAGTGCTTTTAGCCCCTGCCTTCTTCAACTGAGCCAAAGCACTAGTTTATCCAGCCCCATATTGAGCAGCAAGCCCCCCCACCCCCGACACACACACACTAAAAGACACCTCTCACGGCTGGAGAGCCCAAGAAGGGTGGGTGGAGCCATTTGTGCACAAAGTACAAGGGCGTGGCCTCCAAGTTCTGGCCCCTTTCCCTCACCCATTCCCTTTGGAAACCCTTAAGGACTGACTAGGTGCCTGGATGAGGAAGAGATGAACGGCAGCAGGTGACTAGACATTAGTGCATAGAGAAGAGAGACATTAAAAAGGAGCACTTGGAAGGCAAAGTCTCTGGCAGTGTGCTTCAGCCGCTAGCATGCTCTCTAGGGCAAGAGGCTGATCCTGATGCCAGATCCATGCGAACCTCCTACAGTAGGCATGTGCACACACCAGAGGCAGGATGCAGCCAACTCTCACTTGCATATTAACTTCTTGAGAGGGCTTAAGCCTGAGGAATGAGTTCCTTAGCACCTGTCCAAGAGGCAAGACCATGGATGATAACAAGAGGGTCTTGCAAGAGACCAGGCCCTGAGGAAGGGACTGTTCCTGGGGGCAGAGCCAGCTGGAGGCACACAGACTCAGCAGAGGTCAGTTTTAATCCTGGGGGCAGGAGAGTTGAGGGGGGGGAACTTTGTGTTGATCCACTGAGCCTTGTAGTTGCTGACTCAGAAACATGAACAACAGCAACTATTAGCATAGGGGTGAAAAAACTAAGGGAAGCCCAGTGGCCCCCCCACCCCCTTTCTCAAACTCAAGTAGGTTTTAAGGCAGACAAGAAATCAACTCTTCTCCCACCTACAGGCAGGCCCTAGAATGCTTTTGGACCCCTTGCCTCTCCCAGTTTCCCATCCCGCCTGCTCCCCTTGCTCGCTTCGGCTCCAGCAGTAAAGGCTGCGGAGGGCGAGATGCCCTCTTTGGTCAAAGAAATGGGCTGTTGGTCAAAACAAGGAAAAGGGACTAACGAGGCGCCACGCAGAAGCCCACAGAGTGGAATAGCCCTTGGTGAAAACAATTCCCCATCCCCACCGGAGGATGCAGGCTCCACTTTTCCCTCTCCCCTCCTCCTTGCAAGAAGATCACCATGGTGGGACAGTGAAGAAGGGAGGTGGGTGGTTCATGTGGATTCAGAAATGGCCACTCAAGTCATGACAGTTACAGGGAAGTAACCGGTTCTTCTCCATAGTCTCTGTGGTTCACATCTGCTCAGTGACCAGCTGGGGGGCAGGGGGGGGCAGGTTCTCACACCAGAACAGAGGACCGTACCTGCACAGTCAAAGGAAGCATGTGCTGCGCATAGGTGTCCAGCCTGCAGTGCCTCACGGAGGACACTGGCTGGGACCAGGTGGCAGCTTGACAAACACCTTAAAATTGTGCATCGCTCAGAAAGGTTGTTCATACAGTCTTTTTTCTACGTCAGAAGCCTCTCTGTGTGTGTGTGTGTGTGTGTGTGTGTGTGTGTGTGTGTGTGTGTGTGTGTGTGTGTGTGTGTGTGTGTTGTGTGTGTTTGTTTGTTTGTTTGTTTGTTTGTTTCTAACGGCAAGCCACTACTGTGGGCAGATACAAAAGAAACAGAGGCAAGAGGGGTGACAACACAGGTTGACCTTGGCATGGGTCTTGGTGGCAGAGAAACTACTTGTTTGGTTCCCTAAAAGCTGTAGTCGTTAATATAAAAAGCCAGATACGGCAAGCACCGAAGGAAGGACAGGATTTTTCCAGAGTTGTTTGGCAAAATTCATGAGAACATCCTGCGAAATTCTGACACTTCTTTTGGAAGATGCCGGACCTTGTCTCTTTGCAGCTGGAGCCTTGGTCTCTCCCCTTCTCTCGCTCTCCCCTCAGTTTACTAAACTTTTACTCTCCAGAGCTGTACCACTTCGCTGCCAAGCCCTTATGAAGTGAAATGACACTTACCATTTTTTTAAATCATCGGTTTCCTCCTGCTGAGGGTGAGAACAGAGAGGGTGTGGGGGGGGGCATGGTGGCTGTCAGGGAAGAACAGACCAACTAGGGCCCCTCTGAGGTGCCGTGTGGTTTCCTGTCCCAAAGCGCTGTTCAGAACGGGAAAACTTCACTGGGTAGCTGCTCTCGGTTGCTATTATGCTTTCAGCATATTGTGCGAAGACAGGAGTTGCTAGAAAAGAGAGCAATCCTGCGAAGAATTGAGGGAAGCAGGAAAAGAGGAAGACCAAACACGAGATAGAGGGACTCCAAAATGGAAGCCACAGCTTGAGTTTACAAGATCCAGATAAGGCTGCCAAGGGCCAGATTGTTTCTTAGAGTTTAGTAACTCTGACCATAAGTCAGAAGTGGCCTGATGGCAGAAATAAATGGCAGAAAGATGCTTACTTTGCTACAGGGAAGGGGTGGGCAGAGAACGCTCCCTCCCCTATCATCTTCCTGCTGCAACTCATTTCAATGTATTTTTTTCTCCAGTGAAAATGATATTTTTACTTTGGGCCTCCTTCCTCATACACTTTTTACACTTTTCAGCACTGATGTCCGGGGCAATGTTTTCTATGGGATCCTGAGTAATGGAGCCATATCAAGAAAGTACAGCGGAGCGTATTGTCGGTACATCTGTGAGAAGGCGGCCAGGCCCACACTGTCAGGGGCTTTGGTTTCCTGAATGAATTGACCCTGGCACATCTCAAACCTGCACCTTCTGGGAGGTTCCCTGGAATGTCCACACTGCGTGCAAAAAGGGTGGATGCGTTCTTTTATCCTTGTTAACCACCTCAAAATGTCCTACCTCTTAGACCAGTGCGGCCATGGAACCAATTGCCTTGAGGGGTGTTGAGCCCCCTCCCCCCCCCACGGCTGGAGGCCTGCAAGAGAAGACTTGGGCCACCAGCCGCCTGTCCGACCAGCACCGATTTGGATCCCGGCACGGACGGAGCAGGGCTCTGGACCTGACGGCCACCTGGACTCCTTCCTACTCAGCTCTCCAATGATTCTAAGGGGTGCTTCTGCCTCTGGCCCTCTGGGTCTCTCCGTGTGGGTGGCGTTTGTTCTTTTTCAGCAGCTTAGACCTTGGCAGCCGCCACCGTGCCATCCTCCCCTGCCTGACCATGCCGCTCCTTCCTCGGAGCAGCAGGGCAATGAAGCGCGGGCGAGGCATGACCTGGGGCCTCTGTGCCCCACAGGGGGGAGGGGGGGGACAGGCTGGCCAGGCAGATCTGACGGATGGGCCAGAGACACCCCTCTCTGCTATAGGCAGAGCTCCCAGGAAAGCGGAGAGGGCTTTCATCGAGAGACTTACTTCATCTGGAGACACACACACACCCTTTTGCCATCTAGCCAAAGGCAACAGCTGCAAGCAGGGTGGCCATGATTCAGGTGAGAAGGGCAGAGATAGCTAGGAAGCCTCCTCCCTTCCCTCCCTCTCTTGTAGGAGGCTCACCATTGCTGCAGTCACCCATCGCAACCCCATGAGACGCAGAAAGCCACGGGACACGTTGGGTCTCCCGCACTGTCCCCATGTCCAGGCCCAAAGGCCACCAGAAGCAGCCTCTGTGGTTCTCTGGCCTTGCCCGTGGGCCCTACTGGGATTCCTGCCCCCACTGCAGCTGGCCCCTGGCCCTCTGGCCTCTGCAGCTTCAGTTCTAACAGCGGCCAGGACCCTGCATAGCAGAAGGCAGGATGGAGCCCCCTTGCCCAGTGGCTGCCACCTCTACCCAGATGAGCAAGGACTGGGGGTTTTCTGTTTGGGAGAAACAGAGAGCAGAGACAGATCCTGC